CCCCCAAAAAAAATCTAATTTTTTTTTTTTTGAATGGGGGGGTACCCTCCGACACCCCCAGCCCATCCTCTTCCTCAACACCCTCTCGAAAGGTCACGTACGGAGGGCCCAAAGTCCGTACGTATGGCCCGTACCGGGGCCCGGGTCCTGTACGTACGGTCGTACGGGAGTACGTATGGCCCGTATTCATACGGCCGTATACATTGCCCCTCGCCACCTGTACCCTCAATCGACGATTTTAACATCGCAAGGATACAAATCGAGCACCAATTGTTAAAAAAAACATCATAACCTAACACAGGGGTGACAAGTTTCAGTCCCTCTCACTCGATCAACCCTGCACTCTCTTCAACACGGGCGCCACGTGTCAAAAACAAAAGGTGCACATGACACCCGTAGTGTGCCGTATCCCCGCTACACAACGGAAACACCCATTGTTGGGCTCCCTGAACAACTGGTGCGCACATCCACACACCGCGACGTTGACGAACTACAACCTCGAATGCAAACTACCAACCCCAAGGCGGGACGAAACAACGAATCTTCCCTCCTACCAATGCTGCAATGACTACACTTTCACGCGCTGCTGTCCACCATGTGAACATGACTCAATCGTGTTTCATTCGTTCCGCTAAAGCATCCCACAGGGCCAACGTTTCGTGTGTCGACGTAATCATCGACACAGGTTGAAGGGGTTCTTCGATCCCCAGGTCCACATGTTGTCGCACACCATTAGCGTCGACCTCCCATAGCAGATTCTCGTCGAACATAATTCCAGCGTCGATCAGTATGGTGTGCAGTATACAGACAACGGTGAACTGCTGCGGGAGCGTGTCCAGGTTTGTCTTGTGCGTCCGCAGAAACAACCGCCATATGCCCTTTAGCCTACCGAACGCCCTCTCCACCGCTCCCCGTGCCACCTTCTGCTTGTTGTCAAACCGCTCCTCGTCGACGTGCTGATTGACGCCTCCATACGGGACGACCATCCATTCCGAAGGGGGGTAGCCATTCAAGTTGTCCGTTAGGATGTAGTCGTTCGTCCGCACACCGAACGGCCCATAGTGTCACAGGGGGACCATGAAACAACGACCCCGACTCCACGCGTTGCCACAGGCTGGACAATTGGAGCACCCTGATGTCGTGGCAACTACCTGGGTATCCCATGTGCACATCGAGCACACGCAAGTCCAGGTCGGCGACAACCTGCGTGATGATGGAGAAACGACGCTTCCTGTTATAGTAGTTTTTGCTCGGTGCGTTCGCCGACTTGTCCACGTAGATGTGAGTACAGTAAATGCAACCGTGGCAATTGGGGAACCCTTTATCAGCGAACGCCCGCGGAACGACGAGCTTACAAACTCCAACCGGCCAGGCAATCTTCTCTCCGTACACCCGGAGCAGTGCGACAGTGACGTCGCGAACGGCAACCAGGCCAGAAGCTCTGCCAATCCCGAAGTTGCACGTGTTGTTCTCGTACGTCTCCCCCGATGCCCACCTGTACAATGCGTAGACCACAATCAGGTCTGGCTGCAAAGGCTCTCTATAGAACGTCACCTACCGCTGAAGATGAGGCGCACACTCCTCCGCGATTTCCCTGGACACTCATGGCGACATGCGTAGCTTCTCCCGGAAGTGGTCGTCCGTCGCGTCGTCGTCTTCCCAAGTGCCTCCTGTCCCGCGCTTCATCCACCACCTCAGCGTCGCTCGAGGAATCAGTCGGCAACCCAACGCGTAGCACAACTGAACAACAGCCTCCAAGGTCGCCACGTAGTCGGGGCCATCGTCTGGAGCTTGCGTCAATGTCCTCCGTCTACGCGCGCGCAACTACTCCTTAAGTCGTCCCAGTGCCCTCTCCTGTTGACATTGAAGAACAACAGTAGACACGGCCACCGCCACGGCCTGCAGCTTAAGAGGCATCAACACCGCACGTCCACCCTCTCTACCGCCCTCCATAGCCGCGACCTGGACACGGACCCGTCGCTCCGCTGCCGTGTGTGTCGTCCTTCCACACCCAACGAAGAAGTCGAAGATGTTCGTCGAAAGCTGACCCCTTTTCTCTAGATGCAGTCTCGCAGACGAAAATGTGTTTCAAGGCGCAGTCGACGTATGTGAAGGTCGACGGCGATGGACTCACCCGACGATGCTTGCACACTCACAACGGTCGAGGCACAGAAGTGACGCCGCCGCTGAGCCCGTTTCAGCAGTACGCTGTCTTCGTGCCACTAGCCGCATGTCGTCGTCGTCGTCTCAGCCGTCAATCGAATTTCGAATTTCAAACATCGATGGCCCCCCCGGGTTAATTTTCTTTCCCGTCGCCCGCCTCATGTCGTTTCCTGCCACATGTCGCTGGACCACGCGGCCTCCACACGGACAAAAGATGGTGGACCAAGGACCACCGACCCCGTGGCCACTAATTTTTGTATGAGAACGACCGCGGGCACGCCACAAAGAAACATCCTCGGGGGAGGTCCCCAAGGATGAGTGGAACGATGCTGCAAGCCACAAGGAAATTTCCTTTTTTTTTTTTTTTTTTTTTTTAAAGCCCAGGTTGTTGTAGAGGTGGGATACTAGACAGATGGCAGCCACCCACAGTACTCGGCCACTTGGTTGTCCAGATGAACCCCTCCCGACGGATCTCGACAAGAATGATGAAATTCTTGTCTGCGATACAGGTCAGGACAAACGGGGATTGCTGAGTGTGTATGCTTGGTGGGATTGCAATAACTGAGTTGGTGCGGATCGCTCCTCGGTTACTTGCGAGGATCAGGATTTTATCAGCTATCCCTTGCGCACGCACATGTAAGACAACGGCCGTCCACGGACGCGCCCTCTACACATGCGCCCGCAAAAGCTAGCCTCGATCTCGCCCTGTAGGAAGATGTGTATGCAGGAATTCGGTTGAACGAGACATGGCGATAGATTCTCCCTTCTGGATCACTGATCGCGAAAGCCTGAGGGACCCAGAATACCGAGCGTACTGGGAAAGGGAACAGATCTGCCGGCAGCGAACCTGACAACAACGCCACCTATGGAACCCAGGATATCTTGAGTACCCCTGCCGAATGAAAAACGAGCGACTGTGCAGGGGCGATTTCCAGCTGGCAATCAACCGAGATTCGCGGATTCTCGATTATCCCGACAACCGAAACCAGCAATACCTTTTAACCCCAGGCTTCGTTGCCATCACCACCGACTTCCCTCCCTTCTATACCGTCCTCACCTACCATCGGTTACTCGTGGTCCCCTGGGATTCCATAGCCCGGTTCTGGCCCCGTCCGCCGTGCTCAGAGTGTCGACAGCCTGACGAGCGTCGGCAAGCGAGCGACGTGTAACGAACCCATCCCAGGGCCGAGCGACGAGAATCCAACTCGTCTTCATTGGACCCTGAGACGTGTGACGGTCAGCAGCGGTACGAGCACTCCCACTGAGACACCCGTAGTACCCCACCCCGGCCCAGGCAGCACGACTGGTCGTCGCCCCAACTCTGAGCTCGAAGACACTGAAACTCGCCACAGGAGGTCTCAGTTCTGACCTGAGACTCCACCCCAAATTCCCAAAAATCCTTGGCACACCCCTTTTCGCACTTCCGGGCCCCCATCCCACTCCGATCAGAAAGTCGCGTTGGGCGTGAGGTTGGTATCAGAGCCGACACGTGGCGAGCTCACCTAGAAGTAAGCAGGATAGACGCTCAGACGATCTGGCGAATAGAGGACGACCTAGACAGCGGAACGCGCCTCAACGTGATCCTATAATACTTAGGAGTCGATTGCTCGGAAGACAGGCCGTCAATATGAACGCCAATCAAGCGCCAAACGTTAACGTGCAGCTGGGCAGAGCACCTGTCCCCGCACCTCCCGTCCAAGTTCGCGCACCTGCGGCTCCCCATGATTTGTATCTTTTCGACCCTGCACATCACCTGGTCGGGGCATGGCTGGCCACTTTATGGGCTAAACAGTACGACAACGACGAAGCCCGGATCAACATCCCCGCCAGATTGGGAGGAGATGCGCATCATTGGTTTAACACCTACGCCTGGATTGATCTCCCGACCTTCGAGAGAGACTTCCTAAATCGGTTCGATTACATCCACCTTGAACAGGCTTTCTTTATGATCAAAGATCGTGTGCAGAAACCGCTCGAATCCGTTACAGAATATCGTAGTAGGTTCTATAGGTTGTTTGTCAAGTCCGAGATAGATGAGAAGGTAGGAAGAGACTTATTTATCGACGGACTTCGAAGTCGAGCGATGAGGGCCAAACTGCGAAAGCAGTTTTCCCCCATCAACCACACCATGCAGCAGATTATGGACGGCGCCGAGGAAATGGAAAGGAAATTCGCCGCCAGCTTCTTGGAAAACGAGGATCACGCCAGAGACGGAGATTCCTCGGAGCTGGCTCGGGCGAAAGCTGAGCTGGCCGCGCTTCAGAACAAATTTGAAAATATAGGTTTCGTCTCCGGACCCGTTATCTACGTAGAGCAGGTCGTGGCCAAGAAAGCGACACCCGATACAATTACAGGGTTGCCCACAACGATCACGCCATCGCCTCCCCCGAATGTCCCTGCATAACCTAGCGAATCCAACGCAATATTGGAATTAACTCGAACGTTAGTAAATCTGATGCAGGCAAGCAAAAAGGAGCAGCGCGAGCACAACGCACGGATCGATTCGATGATGAGGTCGATGCATCCCATCACCGTTAGGGCAGCCCCAGGAATGCAAGGAGAAGCCCCTGCCCCAGCAGTAGGAGGGGTCGTGGCCAACACAAGTGTTTGTTACACGTGTCACCAGCCAGGACACATAGCCCGGGATTTCCCCCACCGATCTGCACAACCCAGGATTGGAGCCGCGCCAGTACCAGCAGCCCCGATCCCTAACGGACTTGGTCGGGTGGCTACGATGGTGGAAGAAACAGACGGGGTATGAACCCGTCGGGGGTTACGGAGGAAGCAGCCGAACTTATCTCGCTTGATCAATACCTATCATTAGGATATCCGGGCCTCGGTATGATTGGGGCCATCCAGCCCGCCCCTGACCATAACGAAGTATCGGAATGGAGACCCTCCCCGAACGAAATGGAAACAGGAGGACCCGTGTTCATTACAGGAGAAATTGACGTCTTGGACATCGTCCGAGCCTTAGATCATCGCATTCCCCTACCCGTCAGAAACCTGTTGTCCGTCTCTGAACAAGCTAACGATCGGATGCTACAGCATTGCAAGGCGAACCGAAAACGGTTCGCCCTGGCCAGGCTAGCAACCGTGAAAGGAAAGGCCCCCACCCAGAAACCAAAACCTGACATACCGAGCACTTCAGAGCCTGTTCGGATGGGCCTGATCCAGAAAGGCGATCATTTTATACGAATCAGGACCCTTCCATGGAGATCCGCAGAATGTGACGTGGAAGTTTGGGGAAACCCCTACAATGCGGTCCTTGATTCCGAAGCCACGGTCCTGGCCATCTCCTTGCGAGTGGTCGAACGAGCCGGCAGGCGGAAGGACGTGATCCCATTGGCGGAAGGCGATCATTTCGTCTTCGCTGATGAGGGCAAGATCCGAGTCATAGGGAAGATGGTGAACGTGGCCTTCCGCATCGGCAAGGTCAATGCCTTAGGAGACGCAGTGGTCTTAAACGTGAACATGTACGACGTTCTTGTCGGATTACCGGCCCTCACCGCGTTGCGGGCCACGCTGGATTTCGAACGACGAGCCATTATCCTCAACAACACAGGAGGAAAACCGTACACCATCTCGATGCGTCTCACTCTCAGGACAACCTCGATGGTCGAGCGACAACGACAGGAACCTGGCACGGTTCTGAGAATGATACGATGGGAAGAGTCCACGGATGACTCCGACACTGAAAGAAACGAGGCTTCCGTGTCATCGATCACCTCCGAAAGTGAGGAGGAGAACGACCCGCAGATTCTCGAACTAACACGACGGATAATCTGTTACCCGGTTCGACAGAAAATGATGAAGACATTCATATTTAGCAACGAGGCAGCCCAACGAACTTGGGCCCTTATCTTGGGAGAACCGTTAGTGCAGGTGTCACGAATGCCCAATTCTTTGGAACCCCCTCGGACCCTATATGAGGGAGCCGTCCCACTGCTACCACAATACTTAGACAAACGATCATTTTGTGATGTTACGAACATACCTCCCCGATCGCTTCTTACCATGGAAAAAGAAGTGAGATTGTTGCGTCTGGGAGCGGAGACATGGGCTTCGGAACGCCCTGAGTACCCCGAAGCCTCGCTGTTGGAAATGGGGATACGAATTGTCGAGAGGCTAATAGATTCCCGGGATGTCGAGAATGGGCCCTGAAGAACACTTGGCTATCCGGGAGGACGAAGCTCAAATGGTCTCCACCGTATTCTCGTGGTGGTCGGACAACTCCTTCATCTCCTCCCCGCCTCCTCGGGAAGCAAGGATGATACACACGAAACATGTGACGGTCGTGATCCACGGGCGACTCTATGAATTACATGTGCCACAGTATGTACCTGATAAAACGCACCGCCTGATTGCGAAAATCCTAAGGGAATATCAGGGAGTGATTAGCGTAACAGACACGGACATCGGACTGTCACTGATCATCCAACACAAGATTCGGACTGGAAATCACCCCCCTATCCACTGCAAACCGTATCGATATTCCCTCGCTGAACGAAAAACGGCCCTACAGAGGATTAGAGAGTTCGAGGTTAACGGATGGATTGAGCCGGCTACGGGACCATGGTCCTTCCCAGTAGTCCTAATACCAAAGAAGAATGGGTCGGTCAGCATTTGCATCGATTATCGTAAGTTGAACGATATCACGATTAAAGCCCCCTTCCCCGGATTGATGATTTGTTGGATGCGATTGGGTGTGCTAACTACTTCAGCAAGTTCGATATCCGCCACGGGTTTCATCATATCCTGGTCAAGGAGGAGGATCAGCCTAAGACATCCTTTGTTTTGTTTGAAGGCACGTGGCAATGGGTTCGATGCCCGATAGGGATTTGTAATGCGCCGACCACATTCCAGCGAGCGATGAATGTGACGTTTCAAAATTTTGTTAGCAAGACTCGGCTGACGCAGGGGATGATCAATTTCTGCGTTATTGTGTACATGGACGACATCCTAGTTTATTTGGGATCCTACCACGGGCATGCGCAGCACATCGAGTGGACCCTGGGAGCCCTGAGGGACGCCGGATTCCAGATCGCATTGGAGAAAAGCGAGTTCTTTCTCTGGGAGATTTCGTTTCTGGGTTACGTGGTGACTCGGGGTGGTTTGCGGCTCGATTCGAAAAAAGTCGAGGCTGTCCGAGACGCTCCAACTCCCACGTCGCTGACGCAGGTTCGAGCCTTCCTCGGATTGGCTTCATATTATCGACGATTTATCAAGGGGTTCGCCGCTACCGCACGACCTTTAACAAACCTGCTACGGAAAGACCAGCCCCTCAATTGGGACGCGGAGTGCGAACGGGCCTTTTTCACTCTCAAGGAGGCCCAGGCCACAACACTTATTTTGATCTGGCCAGACCCAACGAAGCAGTTCATCCTTATCACGGACTGGCAGCCCGAGGCAATCTCCGCTATTCTAGCGCAGAAAGGGAATGACGGACGCGAGCACGTCATCGAGTACGCTTCCCGTACTGTGCCGGGCGAACGAAAGAACGACTCGGCCCCGCAAGGAGAGTGCTACGCGGTGGTTTGGGGAATCCAGCACTTCCATCCATATTTCTACAAACAGAAGTTTCTCCTTGTTACGGATCACGAGCCGCAATTGGCCCTTAAAAAGCTCACAAATTACACGGGCATGATTGGACGGTGGGCGGTGCGGCTACAGGAGTACGACTGCGACATCATCCATCGGAAAACCGAGAGGCACAGAAACGTGGACGGATTGAAGCGACTGCATCGACCAACGAAGGTCGCCAAGGGCGAAGAGATCATCCCGTGGAAAGAACCGGAGCCAACCAGCGGACCCCGGTACGGACAAGTGGCAGTTCTCCCACGCACCGTGGGAAATGCACGTGGCGATGGGTGACGTAGGTAACTCCAATTCTCCTCACTCTCCCCTCTCGTCTTCATCTTTTCTCTCCTTACCCGACAAATTTTGTTATTTTTGCGAAGCAATCTCGCTGGTCTACTCGGTTCCTATGCACCCTAGTGGGGATGGGTATGTCGAATGGGTAGACTGTCGACAATGTGTGTCCAGAGCCCACGACTCTTGTATCCAATATCGAAGTGGCAATAAGCCTTGGTTGTGCCCCCTGTGTCGGACCGATAAAATCCCGACCGAGGCTCGATTTCTTGACGCCACGTCAGAGGGGTTAGAAAAGACTCAAAGGTTTAGAAGGGTTGAGGTTTGGACCAACGTCGCTCTGATAGCGACCGTAGTGGGAAACCCCCTTCGAGACTTTACTAGGGAGGACCGGAGGAGAGCCAATGAAAGGGCCCGGGATTATCGATGGAACGAGGGACGGTTGGAAAAACGAAAGACGGACGGTAGTGGGATTTGGATGACTGTACCGCACCCGTTCATGAGGTATGACTTGGTTAAGTCAGCCCACGAGGATACCGCAACCCACTTCGCCGTCCGGATCACCGAAACGGAGATCGACAAAAACTAGTGGTACTAGTCCAATATTCGTGATGATGTCAAATTCATCGTCCGAAACTGTCAGGTATGTGCCGTCGACAAGGCGCCGATCCATCCTCCAAGGTCGATAGTGCCCACCGTAGTCGAACGGCCTTTTCCGAGAGTTAGTATGAACACGACCGATATAATGGTGCCCCCTGGACCGAATAGTTGCGAGTATTCAATTTTATTGGTATTTGTGGATCATTTTTGGTAATGGATCGAGGCGTATCCATGCTGAATGGGACAGGTGACTGAAATCGCGCGATACATCAACCGTTTCCTCGGGATGCATCAAGACATCGAGGAAATTCTGACGGATAATGGGGCAGAGTTTAGGGGGGAGGAAGTTTTGAGGAACCTGGTCGTACATGGGGTATCTATTCGTAACACCGCACCCCACATGTCGCAATCGAACGGACTGGTAGAAAACACAAACCGAGTGATCAAGATCGCCCTTCGGCGCAATATCGCGGCTAGGGACACGAGGCCTTGGCCCGATATTGTGGATCACATCCTGGCGGTCCATCGTGGAAGGCCCCACGAGTCCATAGGGCCTCAGCCCCTTTCAACTACGTACCAATAGCTTGACATGTGTCTCGATACCGAGCCTTAACGACGAATCTGCCTTGGGTCGACGGCCCACGAGGGCCAAGGCCCGGGAAAAGGCCAAGTGACACTTGGAATTAATGGAACGGTCCCTCCCTGGGCTGGCCCAGAAACGACAGCGGATGACCGAATTGGCCCACGGCTGATAAGTCCGTAGCTACGAGGCCCGAAATGGGAACGCAGGACCACGACCCCAGTACAAATTGGGGGACATGGTGCAGGTGAGGAAATGTGCTCGCCAAGGTAAGCTAGCGCCACGATTCTTCGGGCCATTTCGAGTGATCGAACTCGGCCCGAACGGGGTGAACACGGTGCGACTAGCGCCCGAAGTCTCAGGCAGTTGATCGGCTTGCCCGATCAGTCGCCACGTGTCCTACTTTCGCAATCTCTCAGCTTATTTTCCTCCTTCCCCAGCTGGGTTGATCTCGGAGTTCGAGTGGGAGAGTGACAATCCCCATTCTCTTTCTTCTCCCCACTCACCTTCTTCCTCCTCGTCGCCATGAGTTTTTCCACGGAGCAGGTTCTCAGTGAACGTATGCAGGCGCCACGAGGGAACATTTCGACGATCCGGCAAGTCCATCATCCGCGCATCAGCCCCGACGTTCTCCAATTCACGCAGTTTTTCAGCACTGCAGGTGTACACGCGGCGGCAGAGTTCTATTTCGTAGTCCCCAATAGCAGGGCACAGGTGCTGGCCAAAGCATCGGCTTATCGGCGACTCTCGGCGCCGGGTATCAGCCACATATCGACAGTCGTCTTCTTCAGCGGGGATCTAAGTACGGTGGATCCCATAGCTCATACGGCCATCCGTAACTCGTTGAGGGAGTGGGGTGAGGAATTGGCGCAGGTGTGGAGCCAGTTACTTGCGCGGCGAGGGGAGAACGTTGTCAATACCAACAGTATTGACACTGGCAGCATCCGTACCCTCCGACACGAACCAACAGTTGTTCTCCCCGCACTCATCCCCTTTTCTCGTCCCCAATGAACCACTCCCAATTTTCTACCTTCAGCCTCCCCTCTATCTTCCCTACCTTCTGTCGTCAGCTATCCATCCCCGCCTCTCTTTTTGCATACGACCACTTGCAGTTCCGCTCATCAAGCTATCGCAGTGGGAGATATGGTGTGAAGAGTGTTCCACCCTTTCTTTGTGCCTAGTTGGGATCGAGCTGACGTGGACTCAGAACAGTGAGCACCGTGCCGTGAGTGAAAGTGTGGAGCTGCTTATCATCCAAGCTTGGAGGACAGACGTGGAGGGAGATCTTCTCGGATTCATCTTCGGAACCGTAGACCCGGGGCATCGGCAGACGATCGTGTGGGAACTCTTGGTCCCTTCAATACAGCTGCTGGACGACCTTCCGACCGACATCGTCTCGCATTGCGACGAGAATCCGGCGCCGCACGTGCTTTCACGGAGTTTGACGTCGTACTTGCAATGGTCGGCCTGTCTGGAGGAGCGCGAGGGAGGCGGTACCTACCCATCGTACGCGGAGTATCTGAACCCCCGAGGGATAATCGACGTTCTCTTCTTTCAACCCCGAACGACGTCGGAGGAGGAAGCGGTAGAGGCGGAGGAGGACGAGGAGGAAGAAACCTATGAAGAAGAGGGAAGTTATAGCGAGTACAATGAGGAGGAGCCGAAAACGGTGAGTGAAGAGGAAGAAGAAGAAGAAGAAGAGGAAGAAGAAGAAGAAGGAGAAAAGTCTGAGTGAGAAAGTTTGGGCGAAGAGGCCGATCAGGCGGAAGTCCGAGAAGAGGATCCTGCGGCAGCCGCGCGAAGGAGGGAAGAGATAGCGGAAGGGAAGCGGCCGTTGGAGCATTCAAGTGGCGCGGATCTGCCAATCCCGAACGATCCGACCAGAGATCCCGAACTGCCCGCAGTAGAAGATGAGCTCCCACTTGTAGAGACTTCGAGCGCGCCGGCGCGGAGCCGACGAAGCCGATCCCCCTCCCCCTCCCCCCATCCCTCAATTCGAACACGTGCTGATGCGAGGCATCGAGCTACGTCCCCGATCAATATCCCGTCGTCCCCTTGATTTTATGACCCTCCAACAGATCGATACCCCGCTCTCCATCCCTCGTTATCCCTTCCCGACTCCCACCTTCCATCACTTCTACGCCACTCACCTTGATGTCACGGTGTATCAACATTCCACCACGAGATGCGCCTCCTCCTCTTTCTCCCTCCACATTCTTCTCTTCAGCGCCGCATGGCGGGGACATAACATAGTCGAAGTCTACTGCATGATCACAGGAACTATCCCTGTGTGCGCGGACTATGATCACTTCCACACGGCCCTGCTCCGCACCTTTCCAACCCTCTATCCCGACTATCTCACTTCTCTCCCCGGACTTAGCCCGACGGATCTCGACAAGAATGATGAAATCCTTATCTGCGATACGGGTCAGGACAAACGGGGATTGCTGAGTGTGTATGCTTGGTGGGATTAACTGCAATAACTGAGCCGGTGCGGATCGCTCCTTGGTCACTTGCGTAGATCAGGATCTGATCAGCTAGCCCTTGCGCACGCACGTGTAAGACAACGACCGTCTGCGGACGCGCCATCTACACGTGCGCCCGCAAAAGCTAGCCTCGATCCCGGCCCGTAGGAAGATGTGTATGCAGAAATTCGGTTGAACGAGACATGGCGATAGATTCTCCCTTCTGGATCACCTATCGCGAAAGCCTAAGGGACCCAGAATACCGAGCGTACTGGGAAAGGGAACAGATCCACCAGCAGTGAACCCGACAACAGCGCCACCTACGGAACCCGGGATATCTTGAGTACCCCTGCCGAATGGAAAACGAGCGACTGTGCAGGGGCGATTTCCAACTGGCAATCAACCGAGATTCGCGGATTCCCGATTATCTCGACAACCGGAACCAGCAATACCTTCTAACCCCAGGCTTCGTTGCCATCACCACCGACTTTCCTCCCTACTATACCGTCCTCCCCTACCATCGATTACTCGTGGTCCCCTGGGATTCCATAGCCCGGTGCTGGCCCCGTCCGCCGTGCTCAGAGTGTCGGCAGCCCGACGAGCGTCGCCAAGCGAGTGTCGCGCAACGAACCCATCCCAGGGCTGAGCGACGAGAATCCAGCTCGTTTTCGTCGGACCCCGAGACGTGGGACGGTCGGCAGCGGTACGAGCACTCCCACAGAGACACCCGTAGTACCCCACTCCGACCCAGGCAACACGACCGGTCGTCGCCCCAACTCTGAGCTCGAAGACACTTGCACTCTTACCCCTGAAACTCGCCACAGGAGGTCTCAGTTCTGACCTTAGACTCCACCCCAAATTCCCAAAAATCCTTGGCACACCCCTTTTCGCACTTCCGGGCCCCCATCCCACTCCGATCAGGAAGTCGAGCTGGGTGTGAGGCTGATCAGACAGCGGTAGCAGGTACCGGGGCTAAGTAGAGGTACCTTCCCCGTGCTCAGCCCTGGTTGAAGCAGACGCCGTGCAAGCCTGATTGCACGGGGACTTCGGGAGCTAGGTTTGAACATGTTACTATAGGTCTTCATGAGGGTGCACAGTGTACTATGATGTTGATGGTAGAGAGATGGGGATCCTCTGTTCCCTCGTATATCCCTGGAGCCCGTTCCGGCCCCGTGGTAAGGTGCAGTATCTCCTAACACCCTCCGACATCCGTACTAAGGACTACTATGCAGTCCCCCGTTCCAGCCCCGCAGTAAGGTGTAGTATCTACTGACACCCCCGACATCCGTATTAAGGGCTGTTATGCCAGCCTCAACTCTAAGGTTCGTACTAGGGAGTATAGCCCACCCTCAGTCGTGAATCATGGACTGTATTTGACCCTGGATACAGTGTACTGTGAAGTTGATGGTAGAGAGATGGGGATCCTTTGTTCCCTCGTATATCCCTGGAGCCCCCGTGGTAAGGTGCAGTTTAAGGTGCAGTATCTCCTAACACCCTCCGACATCCGTACTAAGGACTGCTATGCAGTCTCCCGTTCCGGCCCCGCGGTAAGGTGTAGTATCTACTGACACCCCCGACATCCGTACTAAGGGCTGTTATGACAGCCTCAACTCTAAGGTTCGTACTAGGAGGATAGCCCACCCTCACTCGTGAATCATGGACTGTATTTGACCCTGGATACAGTGTACTGTGATGTTGATGGTAGAGAGATGGGGATCCTCTGTTCCCTCGTATATCCCTGGAGCCCCCGTGGCAAGGTGCAGGATCTCCTGACGCCCTCCGACATCCGTACTAAGGACGGCTATGCAGTCTCCCGTTCCGGCCCCACGGTAAGGTGTAGTATCTCCTGACACCCCCAACATCCGTACTAGGGACTGCTATGCCAGCCTCACCTCTAAGGTACGTACTAGGAGGATAGCCCACTCTCAATCGTGAATCATGGACTGTATGTATTGACCCTGGATAATCTCTAGGCCCTGTGTTGTATCGAACACAAGACCTTATGTGAATCATGCAAGTGACCTAACGTATTGATATACTCTGTGAAATAGTCTGTAGCTGTGCTCTGCTGGGCTCGAGTAAACAGGACTATACAAACCACCCAGCAGTCTCATGACAACCCCGTAGACCAAGAGCATCAAGATACCCACCATCGCCGAGTCCCCACATACAACAACCATGGACTATCTCTTGGGTGGTGCGCAGGCAGTGTCTGTAATAACTTACCTGCGTCATCCCAAGGGTGTGTGTCCAGCCGTGCGTCATTCTAACGCCCTGCCGGTGTCCATGCGCAAGGTTGCGGAGTTTTGAACCCACAACCTCATACCACAATGCGCATTTCCAACCGGTGCTCTAACCACTGAGCTACATCAACTGGACTTGTCGCTCAAGGAACTCGTAAGGAGTGTCTAACGAGGCCCTATAAAGGCCACGTGATTTTTTCTTTTTTTTCCTTATTTTAGGCCATGTGAATATCAGTTGCGCTCAATCACTTGCGTCACTGCCAAAAAAAAAAAAAAAACAACCTTGTGTCACTTGTGACTTGAGTGGGGAATTGATTGTCGTGTGATTTGGACGGGGTCAGTTTTACGAAGTGTCGTTGATTCAACTGCGCTGCAATCGCGCGCACGCTAAAAGGCTGAACTCAACGTGATTGGCAAGTCCGGAGTGGGACACGTGGCAAGCCGGGGCCGCGAGGCAGAAAAGCGCGGAACACGTGGCGGAAAGACGTGGAACGCGGAATTCACAAACGGGTTTCTGGAAGTGCCACCGAAGCCTAGGAAACGGTGTGGGACACGTGGCGAAAGGGCGTGGACACGTGGCGGAAGGGCGTGGGGCACGTGGCGAAAGGGCGTGGAACACGTGGCGGAAGGGCGTGGGACACGTGGCGAAAGGGCGGGGAACACGTGGAAAGTGTGTGGATCGTGTTCCAGAGAAGGCGTTCATGGCTGTCTCCATTGACATGTTGAGGGCATATACTAACACCAGGAGTTTTTGGACTCAGCTCTGGGCATGATTGCGGTCAGATGCATCCAGGTTCGGCTGTAATTAAGTTCAGATACATTTGCTCGTGTGAGTACACCTTGAGATGAACCACGACCTCCATCGATCACGGCCGGTGCGTGGCATTCCTCTTCCTTCTCTTTGGCGGGTTGTCGGTCCGTCGGTTGCGCGGGAAGAAGAAGTCGAATGCGCGGGAAGAAGAAACGCAAGGAGCTGTGAAGCCCGAGGAGAGAGGGAAAGAGGAAAAAAGGCGGGAATGGCTCACGCGCTCCAGCTCGGGCATTGGTTGTTGATTGATTGGTGGTAGTGGAACGCGTTCGGGGACATCATTTCATTCCTTGGTTTGATTCAAGCGGAGATCGAACGGCAATCTCGATCCGACAGACTCCTATTATCGAGCTTGTCGGGATCGCCGCGCACATGCGCTCAGAGAGGAGGCAACCGATGTTCCTCCTCCCCCCCCCCCCCCCCTCCTCCTCCGCCCCCCCAAGAAAAAGAAATCGAGAGTGTGACTACGGCCGCTGATTACTCTTTTGTCATATTCTTGCGTGTCTGATCCCACCGCTAATGCGTAGTATCAGGGCTCGGCGCGCTTACAATCTCGCCTGATCCCTCCTTTTTAACTGTACTAGAGCGGATCGGCGGCTGTAAGCGAACAGGCAGCCAATCAACGATAAAGTGAGGCAGCCAATCAACGATCACGTGGCGAAGAGAGGACGAGGAATCGACGACCGCCATGGCTTCGCCATCGCCATCGCCATCAGTGAAGGCGCAAGCAGGAATTGGCGGGAATAATCCTAGAACCACGCTCCTGATCGATAAACACCGATCTTATATCAAGAGTCTCGATAAAGTGAGAAGATCCATTCCTGCCTTTCGCTGGCTCATCTCCTCCGCCACCTTCCCCCCC